AAACAGGGAACCATGATACCTCGATAATATGGCTGCCTAACCATGTTGTTGACAAGGAGAATACCAATAGTCAGGGTATCATGGAAAAGGGGGAGGGGAATCTCAAAGGGCCTCACCCCTAGACAAAGACAGGCTACTAAGGAATTTTGAGGCTGGGATAATTAGTCTTCTCCAGAGATGAGATGAGCATTTTTTTTAGATGAACCTTTTAATTTTTCTGTATCAAATTGTCCAATCAAGAATCATATACCTACAAGAAACACTAAATGGATTTATCAGGTTGTATTAGTATATTTATGCATATGTGTATGTAACAATAACAATTAAAAAATAAGGAGTAACAGAAATTGAGAGGGAGCAAAAAGTGGAGAATAGGGGGGGTAGAGACAGGAAAGGAAAAGACAGAGTCTGAGTAATTAAATTTTAATAGAACTTTAAAAACAAAAGTCTCAAAGCTAAAATACAAAAACTACAGAACGCCACGGAGGAAGAAGGTGCTGGCAGTCCTGATGAGACTTGATAGGCTGGGTCAGTTGATAGAGGAGGAGGCCTCCCCCTTCCTGAGGACTAGAGAAGGGTATAGGGAGGAAGAGGGAGGGATGGTGGGACCAGGATGAGACCAGGAAGGGGACTATGATCAGGATGTAAAGTAGGAGAGAGAAAGGGTGCCAGTGTGGAACGTGAAGGGCGAAGAGGTGGGGAGCTTCTGGGGTGAGAGGAGGAAGGTAAAGCTGTGATGAGATTATAGTGTAAGAAAAAATTATTTCCAATAAGGAATAGGTTTGTTACCAAAATAAAAAATATTACTCACAACCACCCTACCAAAAATGAAACAAGAGTTACTTCTGAGCAGCTATTTTAACACTGCATTGATTATTTACATCAATTCCATGTACAGGAAATAGAACTAATGAAAATACTATTACATTCATTTAACCATTTCAAAGCTATATAATGGCTGTTGGATACCAAGGGGTTTTAGCTCATCTTTTTTATTACCATAATTAATAAATGTCTATCACATGTTCTATAAAGGAAATATAATGCAGTAGGCTGATAGGGGTTCCATCAATCATACTTGTGAATGATTCTGAACTTTTAATTGAAGTTATGTTATGTATTCAATTTTTTTAAATTTCTCATTCATTGTAAATATGTCATGGATAAGTAAAAATAACATACGAAATTGAGGCTATGTTTTCTAGAACTATTTATTCAGCTATTGCGTTTCTATTAAATAACATATGTTAAAAGCAACAGAATACATAATTTATCCTATAATCTTGTTTTAGATATTTGTTGCAGTTTGTACCTATTTCATTGATAATGTAGTTTAATTAACATTTTTCTTAGAGTTAACATTATTTCTAAATTAATCACAAGAAAAAAATATGACTTTAAGATCTCAATCCTTGGGATGGAGAGATGGCTGAGTGAATAAGAGCACTTGGTGCTGTAGAGAACCCCGATTCAGTTCCCAGCACTCACATGGACACAACTGTTACGCTAGACCCAGGAGAATGGATACTCTTTACTCTGTTCTGCAGACATCAAGCATGCACATCATTCAAAGACATAAGTGCAGATAAGCATCCTGATGCATAAAATGAAAACAAACCCTTAAAATTCCCAGTCATCGTGGAATATATTCAGAAAGGCTTTCTATGCATTGTATATGAATGTGCTTGACAAATTAATTTGGATAGTTTCAAAATCAGTACTTTCCTTAAATGAGCTATTTAAAAATAAGTTTAAAATGTATTATTAAAGAACTAAAGTTTTGTTGTTGTTGTTGTTTTAAGAAAAGTGACCAGGCATGATGGTGCGCACCTTAATCTAAGCCCTCTGGGAGGCAGAACAGAAAATACCTGTGAGTTCAAGTCCAGCCTTGTCTACAAAGTGAGTCCAGTACAACCAAGGCTACAAAATGAAACCTTATGTTGAAAAACAAAAACAAAAACAAATGAACAAGAAAGTGAATGGTTTGATAGTTACAAACAAAATTAACCTTATAATGTTTTTAATCACATGAAACTCAATATGCTAACAAAAGCATTTTGATTAAATAGTTGGCAATGAAACTAAACTAAATTAATGTTGATTGTGGACTTTGATGAAGAGCATACCTTAAAGTTTATAAAATCTTAATCTAGGTAGTGTGAAGTTATCTTTCTGGTAAACTACAAATGTGGTTTTCCAGTACAGAATAACTATTTTCTCAGTATGTGTTGTTTGTTATGTTGATGTAACTAATGCCAGGAAATATTGTCTGTTTCTTTTAGAGACTTCATGAAATGTTCGCTTTTGGGAATTGCTTAGCAAATAATTTTTACTGTTGTATTTAACTACTTCCTCTTAGAATATAATGACTTGCCTGTAGGCTTTAAAAAATTAAAACCATTAATAAAGTAATACATTTCATAAATGTATATAGCTGCTCTGCAATAAACACATTTTTTAAAAAATGGATACATAGAACTTCAGGGTTTGTATCAAATAGTTTCTGTCAATTGCTTATAGTAAATGTTTTTATTGTAAGAAATAACTTTTTAAATTTGCTACACAACAGACAACTATGATTAATTTTTTTTGATAGACATTAATTGGTAACTGATAATTCTTTCATTCTTTGAAAACAAAACAAAGCAAAACAAAACAAAACAAAACAAAAAAACTGTTCTCACTCAAGGAAGCTGTTTATTGCTTTTTGCTCCACACCTCAGCCTCACAGATCACTTTTGAAACTCAGTTTTGTAAAACATAACAATGTCTACAAAGATATCCAGTAGATGGTCGCTGATGGCTCAAAGACCAGACCACCTTTACTTGATTAGTTATAATAAAATGCCACATCGTCGCGTAATATTTTTTCAACTTGTATAAATATTAATAGCTACCGGGAAAGAAAGGTGAATTCCTCCTTCAGGTCTCGAAAGGCAGTGATTAGTCTAAATTAGAATGGAAGTTATTTGTCCTGTTGGGGCACCTGTAAGGAAAGGCTGCTCTACTGTCTCTGGATTGGCTGTTACCATGGTTACGGTTTGTTGAGAGGCGGTAAACACTGGCTTCCAGGAAGCCCAGATCGCGCTGTTGAGTGAGAAGGGCGCCTATTAGCAGGTAGGTCGTCCTTGCCAGGGTGCGGCTTGTGCGGTGGACAGGACACTGAGCCGCCACTGCAGCCAGAACTTGCAGGAGGACGGGATGCCCTAGGGGCTGTGCAGCACGCAGGACTCCAAACTCTTTCAGGATTCTTCTAGCTCTGCCAAAACTTGAAATTCCATCTGACCAGCTAGAGATCCAGCCCTATTCCTCTCGACCACGCCCAATCTCAACAGTCAGTTCTTTTCTTCCTATGTACCTCCAGCCTCTTTGCTATTTACCTATATGTCATGATGTTGTTCTTCCTACTTTATCAAGTACATTTTCCTGTTCTATACCATGGCCGACGAGGAGAGCCCCTTAAATCTTTTTCCTTGCCTGGCAGTTAAAGAGCTCAGGTGATTATTAGCCTGAAGTAGTCTAGAGCAGCTTACTGACACTAGGATCCTGATGAGAAAGTGCTTTTCTGTACATTTCTGTACATTCTGTACATTTACATATATGCTCAATTGTAAATTTAAATTTTCATTTTCTCAGGCAACACAGAAAATGGTTGTGAAATTTCTTGTGGGAAAGAAAGATAAGTGACGTCCACAGCCAGAGAGGCAAGTACAGGCTTTTATTTTCCCCTCTTAGCTTGTTAGATACTGGTTCATGTTGTCTGTAAGGAGAGAAGTTAAAAGGACGGTGAGGCAATACGTGAAAGGAGTACTGAGTGGGACATAGTTTAGTAGATGTCAAGTCTATTTTAGAGTATAGGAAGAACTCTTAGACCTTACTAAGAAGACACGCTCTCTCTCCTGTGACACTGTTTCTGGGGAGATATAAACAAAAGCCTACTCACCCCAGGGGATCTGTCGATGACAGACTAAATAAGGCTGCCAACAAAACCCAACTTGGTGAAACAGTGGGTTTTATTGGGCTTACTTACAGGAATAGGGCTGAGGAGCTATTTTTAGGACTAGAATGACTGAAAGGCAGCTGGGTCACCAAGAGCCCTCTCTACCATGGGTGAGAGCTCACAAACACTGGGAACATGAAGCACATTGAATGGCTGAAGGAAGCTCAAACAAGTAGGAAGGCTGGAAGGCTCCTTAGTGGTGAGAAGATCACTGGCTTAGGAGTCAGCATCTCTGAGTTAAGGTTCTGTCCCCATTATTCATTAGCATTTTGGCTTTAGATGATTAAGTAGATTTTTCAAACATTACTGTTCTTATGTAAACAGTTTCTTCTGAGGATCATCAATTGCATATTTATCCTCTAGTACATCGTCAGCCGAGGTCTAGAGTATCCTGAAGATCATTAGGGTGGTGGCGATAAAAGTGATGATGAGGATGGAAACACATATTGTAGTGTGATATATCCAGTTTAAGAAGTAAGGATTTAAGCACAGTAAAATTTATATTATATGCCAAATGTTATCTTTCAGGATGTGCCAAGTTAGGAAGTGCACATGGCTGTCTAGGGCAGAATTACTAGAATCTGGGCTCAGTAAATACAAAATTTCTCTCAGAAATAGAGTCTGGTTTTCCTCTTAGATGAATTTTAATTTCTATGTACTCAAACTGTTCAACTTTTTTTTGTGGGCTGTACTTGCAAAGACAATATTACCCTGAAATTTCTTAGTCGTTTTACATAAGAAAAGTCAATTCTGTGATTTTTCTGGAAGAAATGAAGGATAATAATAGTTTTGATCATCTTGTGGTCAAATATTTTTAAGAATGAGTGAGTAGTCAGGCACAGCAATGTTCTTTATCATAGAGAACTAGCCTCGTAAGGCGCCATAGAAGTGTGTCAAATTAAATGTCTAATGCATGTTGGGCTGTGTGACAAAGTAGAACCCATATTTTTTAGAGACATCAGATTATTTACCTTTAAGTTCTATTTTTTCATTAAGAATTATGGAGGACAGTGATGACAGTGATGCAAAGCTCAGAGAAGAAATAGAAGCTGAATTGGATAAAATCAGCATTTCTTCCTTGGAAAATGATGAGGTTGAAAATGATTCCGAATCAGAAACTGAGAGTGACAATAGTGATACTGTAAGTGTTTTGTCATAATCTTTTTCCTTTTTATGAGTTCACTGAGAATTTCACACAATGTATATTGATCATACTCATCCTCCAAGACTCCCCTTCCCCTCCCCTTACTGATCACCTATATGCCCTTTTTTAAAACCCCAAATGAACAATTTATGCTGCCCATATCGTCTTGGGCATGTGGTCTTCCACTGGCTCGAGTGTGGTCTGTTTAACAAGGGCCAGCCTCTTGAAAAACAATATTCTCCCTCTCTTAGCAGCCCTTAGGTCCCAATAGCTCTTTAGCTAGGGGTGAGACTTCATGACCACTTTTCCTCTCCATGCTGCTATTTCATCTGATGGGGCTTACACAGACCTTTTGCATACTGCCACAACTACAGTGAGTTCAGATGTGCAATCTCCCTGATGTGTGTGTGAAACACTCTTTAACGGTAGTCATACTCAGCCTCTGGCTCTTTCTGCTCCCATTTTTGCAAAGATCCCTGAGCCTTGAAAGGAGTGTTTTGTTTTTAAGCTTTGTTTTGTTGTTATTTGATTTAAAAGAGGTTTTTGATTCAATGTATTCTGATTATAATTTCCTTTCCCCTAATTCTTCCAAGTTCCTTCCCTCTTTAGCTGGCAGTCAAATTCACACCCTTTCTGTCTTTCCTTAGAAGACAAACAGACATCAAATATTAATAATAATTAAATAAGTTAAAACAAAAACAAGCAAACAAAAGAAAAAAGTTCCAAACAAAAAGAGCACAAAACAAATGTAGACACACACACACACACACACACACACACAGAGAGAGAGAGAGAGAGAGAGAGAGAGAGATCTTCTAAAAATACAAAATACAGTATTTACAGAGTACCTATAAAGTAAAAAGACTGTCTAAATGAAATATTATGAAACAAAGAACCTCCAAAGTTGCCATTGAGGTGTGTGTGTGTGTGTGTGTGTGTGTGTGTGTGTGTATGTGTGTGTGTCTGTGTTGCCCATCTACTACTGGGTATGGGCCCTGTGCTTAATAATGGTTTTTATCCCCCACTGAGACTATATCAGGGAGAATTTACTTTTCTTTTGTGAGTTGTTATTAATTAGAGACAGCTTCTGTATTAGGGATGAGGCTTTTGTCCATTTCTTTGCTCCGTGCCGTGACCCCATCTGGTGGAGAGCCATGCAGGCCCTATGAGTTTTACTATAAAGCTATAACAATAAAAACCAGCATGGCATAGAATCAGATCAGTGGAATCAAACTGATCAATGTTAAGCAATTGAATCAAATTGAAGACTCAGACATAACTGTATAAATCTATGGTGAACACCTGATTTTTTATTTTAAAAAAAATTTATAAATACATACTGGGGAAAAAAAGACAGGATCTTAAAAACGATGCTTGTCAAACTGAATGGCTGCATGTAGAAGAATCAAATAGATCCATACTTATTACCCTGCACAAAACTCAACTTCAAATCTATCAAAGACGTCAGCAGAGGATTTTGGTGGTTCTCCACAAACTGCTGACAAGGCTGAAGAAAATACCTACCTAACTCACTGAACATGAAGAATTCAAGCTGATGCCTATCGACAGCCTTCACCTCTATGAACTAGTGTTCTTAGTACTATAAGAAACTCTGCACATTACCAAAAAGGTAAACACCAACCCAGATACAAACTGTTTGATATATACTGATGACTTGCCTTCAAGGTATCCTGCTGTGGTAGTGGCACAAAGCTTATGGGAGTAACCGAACAGAATCTGATAGATTAAAGCCCAGTCCATGAGAGGAAACCCATTCCCAACACAGTTTAGGTAGCCAAGAACTTGAGTAGGCCAGGACCTAAGAGAACACTACATTTCTGCTAAAATTACTCCTAATGCCATTCTGCTATGGTCATAGATCAGTGCCTTTCCTAGCCACCATCTGAGAGGCTTCCTCCTGTGGCAGATGAGAACAAATACAGAGACTAAAAGCCAAAACATACGCAGAAAGTGAGAGACATTGCAACACTCGGTCATGTACATAGGTTATTAATATATTGATTACAGTACAAAGAGCACTATTATCTACTTAACCCTGTATTACTTGTTACTTAAATTTTAGGATTTTGCTGAATTGCCAGAGTCAGTTCTTCACTATATCAGCATCATAAAGAACAGGAGTAAATCCGCTGAAGAACTCATTCTTCAGGACTTAGAAGACAACACTGATGTCTTCAGTGAGTACATGGATTGTGCATAAGAAAGGGAGGCATTCTTTTGAATAACCCTCTTCGAGGGCCAGCTTCCACAATTAATAGCATAATTATTGATAAGACTGAAGAGATAGATACACAAATACATGCCACACATGTACACACATACATACACAACACATATACAAACACTGGCACACACAGCACACATACACACATATACACACAAACATACCACACATATACACACATACCACACACATACACACATATACACACATACATACACACACCCCACATACACACACACGTGCGCACATACTATAGAGATAATAATTTCTCTTGTAGCATCTTATTTCTGATTCAAAGCTCTTGTATCACAATCTGGGTCAATAAATGGAAACATCACCTGCTTGTCCTTATACATATATATGAAAATAAAAATGTGATTAAATCACAGAAAGTTAGTTTCAAAATAATTTGGTTGATGATATTACTGTCTTTCAGATTTTTACACTGTAATGCATGCCAAAAAGATCATGAATAAATATCAAAGAAGAAAAATAGCATATTTGGTAAAGTAAATGGGAAAAGTAAATCAGGTCCTCTGTAAAGGTGGTTTGCTATTAGAAAACACTGACAAAATTTAACATACTAATTGAATAAAGAAAATGAATGTAATTACATTTGAACTGATAATAAAAAGAAAATAAAATTTAATTAAATCTCATAAAATAAAATTAATATCATTCATCATGGTAATTTTAATATTTTTAAATAAATGTTTGTAGTAAAATTTTTTATTATATTATTCAAGATTCTGTTGCCAGTTTCTAGCAGATGGAATTGAGCCTTCATAGATTTCAAATCAAGGTGTCATTGTATGCTATGTATGTATACAATTTCCTTTGAAGTAAAGGACTCTATTTTGGAGGCAAGTTCCTTAAGACTCACGGTGTTCTACAGTGAGGCTCAGGATATTTTAAAGGTGGTTACTTAAGACTCAGGAAGTAACCAACCCCAAAGCTTTAGAAATTCCTAAAACTAACTAGACACTTCAGGCCCCTTAATATTGTATTGTCAGGCAAGTATGATTCTATATGCAAATAAAACAGTCTAGAATATGAAAAGTGATCGCAAGGCAGTGCTTCAGAAGTTTACTTTTATTTAACAAACACTAATAAATTTCTTACAACTTTTTATTTTATTTATTTTATTACAACTTTATTCTATAACATTACAGTTACTGATCAAGTTTGTTGAAAGAAATTACGATAGAGTTTAATGAAAAGGCTTGAGGTTTTGGCAAGTACTCTGATATTTGAAACTGTAGTTTTTGTTTTCCTTTTTCTAGGTTGCAGCTGTGGCACAGTGTCGAACAGTCCTATACACTGGAGGACAGGAACACCAGCTGAAGCTAAAGAAAATTCTGAGCAATTAGTGAAGGTATGCATGTAACACCTGAGTGAAAATACTGACTATTGCAGCTAGGACTGTGCTGTTTTCTCTTGCATCTTAGGATGTTAGTTTATTGACTTCAGTTTGATTATTTTAAACAAATAATTTTTGGTTCTGTGGTATCCTCTGATGTATTATATAAAACTACATACATTTCATTCCCTAAAAATGATTTGATCCATAAGTATTTAGCATTAAATGTTCATATGCACAGAACAGTAGAATGGTACTGCATTTATCATTTTTGGAGGAAAACACTGAATGTATTATAGTGCTTATTGATTTTCTTCTGAAAGAAGTATTTTGACAGAGGCTTGAAGTATTGCAGATAATCTTCAAGAGTAGATTTTTGTATTACTTTGGAAAGTAACACAGAAGAAAATTTTCTGGAAAGTAAAGACTAGCATTTTATAGACTGAAATCTCCCAAATGTATTTTGAAGAATGTCTTTTTTAAGGATATTATTATTATTATTATTATTATTATTATTATTATTATTATTTACAATTTCTTCAATTTGTATACTGGTTGCAGCCCCCTACCTCATTTTCTCCTGGTCCCAACCTCCCTCAATCTTCCTCCCCTATCTTTTTCCCTAGTCCACTGATAGTGAAAGTCCTCTTCCCCTACTGTATGACCCTAGCCTAGTCCCATCAGAACTGCCTGGATCCCCTTCCTCTGTGGGCTGGCTAGGTCACCCCACCAGGAAGAAGTTATCGAGGAGCAGGCAACTAAGTTCATGTCAGAGATTGTCTTTTCTCCCCTTACTAGGGAACCCACGTGGAGACTGAGCTGTTTATAAGGCTCTGAGCAGGTGTCTAGGTCCTCTTTCTGCATGGTTGAAGAATGTCTTTTAAAGATTTTCTTAGATTCAATTTCATTCAAAGTATCTCTTCTCTCTAGTCTCTTTCCCACCTTGTAATAGTAGATACATAACTTGAAAAATATTTTATATCCTTTTTACTTTCTTTTTGTTAGTACTCAGACTTGAAATACTAATTTTGAATTTTGTTGCTTCATTGCAGATGAATATTTTTAATTACAGTGGAGATATACAATTTGTCAAAACTATGTACAAAATTCAGGTTTAAGTAGATAATAGTTCTATTTGTGTAAACAATCACTAAAGGTAATAAAAATAGAAATTCATCAAAAGGTTAGGAAGAGATATTTTGAAGGGATTATTAAGCATATTAACTGACTTGTAGATTTATATTGATGACTTTCTTGGTAAAACTTTAAGAGGATAACATATTTATAAAGAAAATAATTATTAATGTATTTGAAAAGGTTTACAGTAAATAAAATTCTCAGTATATGTATTTAAACATTATTAAAATCATAATTTTACCCTATTCTGACTTTCCTTAATAATTAAATAATAAAGATATTCTTTTAACCTTTCAGATGTTAGCCACAATAGAAAAGGAAGAATTTATGAGAAATCTAACTCATCCTTCCAGGTCTGAGTCTGTTTCTGAACCTGTTGTTTTTGATACAGCCATGGATGAATATATTTTATCAGGTGGGCTACATTCTCAATTATATGTCTAAATATTTTTATATGACGTGCTATAGTGCATTGAAAATATTTTCTTTGAGATACTTGCAAATGTACAAATATACAAATTTTAAAAATTGAAAGTCATATTCCTTGCAATAAAATACTTGCAAGTTGAATTCAAGAATACTCCAAAAAAGTTATGAATTGTAGATGGATAGATTTGGAAATGATGTGATTGTTTTTTTCATTAGCTTTTAAAAAGTCATTCACATCATTTGGCTTCATTCCAAGGAGGCAGGGATGGTTCAACACATGTAAATCAAGATATGTAATTTACTATATAAGTAAACTCAAGGACAGAAATTACACAATCATTTCAGTTGATATGGAAAGGATATTTGAAAAACTCCATCATCCCTTCATGATAAATACTAATTTGAAACTAGGGATAGAAGGAATTTTTTTCAATATAATAAAGGTTGTCTGTGACAAACTGATAGCCATCATCATGTTAAATGTAAAAAAGTTTGAGACATTTTCATTACTATCCTAACAGACAAAGGTATCTACTCGATATAACTCTTAAAGTCGTACCTAGAGTAATAAGGGAAGAAAAGAAAATGAAAGGGACTTAATTAGGAAAAGAATAAGTTAAAACATCTCCATTTGCAGAGTACATGATTCTATACATAAGAGGCCCCAAAGACAGCATGAGAAATCTTCTACACCTGACAAACATATTCAGGAAAGTGTCGGGTTACAAATTTAACATACCCAAAGCAATACCTTTCGGGTGTACCACCAAGACAGACAAAGAAAGAAACCAGCTGCAGGAATCTCTTTAGGAAGGGTGGACTAGAGTGGATGGGGACAGGAACAGGAGGGATTAGGTTGAGGGAGAAGGGGATGAGCCAGGACTGGGAGTATTCCAGGGGAAAGGTAGAAACTTAGGGTGATGGAATCTCTCTGCAATTTATGAGGGTGACCATAGCTAAGACTTCTAATAGCAGGCAGTACAGAGGAAGAACCAGACCAGACATCCTGCAGGCAAGATGTCCAGAGGAGGGATTGGGACAAAAACCCGGCAACAAAACCTTTAAATCCCTGTCAAAATTGCAATGTAATTCTCCATAGAAATTTTTCTTTAAAAAAAAATCTTAAAATCCATATGAAAACAAAAAAAAAAAATCCAGTTAAGAGAGACAATCATGAGCAATATCTCCTAACTGTACCACTTAACTTCATATACACAAAATATTAATGTAAATTTTAGAAAATATTTTGAGGAAAGTTATTTGATCTCCTCATTGACAGTAATAGAATTTCTGCATACAATCAGATGTTATCACTTATGTCCAAAGTTGGATGACTGCTGTCATCGATTCACATTTAGAAAATGTATAACCATTTGCTTTATTCATATGCTTTACATTGCATTCATAATTATAAAATTGATTAGTATGATAGGTTTTGTTTCTCTGAATGAATGCAGATGATGCTGATTTGAATTTTGGATACTTTGAAGTAGAAGAAAGATGTAGAAAGTCTTTTGAGGCTTGGCAGGACAAACAAAAAGAACTAGAAAAAAAAGACAAAGAAATACTTGAAGCTCAGAGTTATATAGAAAAACAGAAATTTCAAGAAGATGATGAAAAGAGACATTGCTGGATGAAGCAGTTTGAAGTTGAAAAGAAAAAATTAGAGAGTCTTCAGAAGGTATAGTATTTCCATCTCTTACTGGATACTCGGCCAAACCTGTTTTTTTTTTTTTTTTTTTCTCTCTCTCCATCATTACCCCTTAAATGTTATTTGACATCACCTATAGCTACCACTGATCAGTACCAGCCTATATAAAAACACAAATCTAACTTTATAACTTTCCTATTCATACTCCATGCTACAAATACATTTAAAGCTGAATGTATGGTGTTTTTCCTGAGTTGTGGTCCTCCAATAATCCTAATTAAGTGATTCCTAATAAAAAGCTGATATGAACAATTTTTTACTCTTTCCTATTTTTCTGCTTTCCACCCTTTAATAATTATATTGTCCACCCTTGTGTTCAGTTTTCTTATATAGTCAAGCTTTTCTAGTGACTGAGAATTTTTGCTATTTGATCATTTGCTTTCTATTTGATCTTTTGCTTTCTATTTGATCTTCTATCTTTGGCTGTACTGAGTCTTCCAATTCATCTACCAAACTGCTGTCATTGGAATAGTTTAATATATTTTTTCTTTTTTTTAACCTTTATTAATTACACTTTATTCATTTTGTATCCCCCCATAAGCCCCTCACTCCTCCCCTCCTAGTCCCACCCTCCCCCCCTTTCTGCATGAATGCCCCTTCCCAAGTCCACTGATGGGAGAGGTCCTCCTCTCCTTCTTTCTGATCTTAGTCTTTCAGTTCTCATCAGAAGTGGCTGCATTGTCAGGGTTCTAGGTTATCTCCATGAATGGTCCTTGGTTGGAGTATGAGTCTCTGGGAAGTTCCCTGTGTTCAAATTTTCTTGTTTTGTTTCTCTCCTTTTGGAGTTCCTGTCCTCTCCAGCTCTTACTATTTCCCACTTCTTACCTAAAATTCCATTCACTCTGCCTGACAGTTGGCCATCAGGCTCAGCATCTGCTTTGACAGCCTGCACTGCAGAGGCTTTCAGAGGCCCTCTGTGGCAGGTTCCTAGTATGTTTCCTGTTTTCTTCTTCTGGCTTTCAGAGGCGCTCTGTAGCAGGTTCCTAGGTTGTTTCTTGTTTTCTTTTTCTTCTGATGTCCATCCTCTTTGCCTTTCAGGATGGGGATTGAACATTTTTAGTTAGGGTCCTCTCTTTTGCTTAGTTTGTTTAGATGTACAGATTTTAGTGGGTTTATTCTATGTTGTATATGAGTGAGTATTTACCATGTGTCTTTTTGCTTCTGGGACAACTCACTCAGGATGATCCTTTCCAGGTCCCACCATTTACCTGCAAATTTTGTGATTTCCTTATTTTTCATTGCAGAGTAATACTCCATTGTATAGATGTACCACAGTTTCTGCATCCATTCTTCAGTTGAGGGGCATCTGGGCTGTTTCCAGCTTCTGGCTATTACAAACAAAGCTGCTACAAACATGGTTGAGCAAATGTCCTTTTTGTGTACTTGAGCCTCTTTTGGGTATATGCCTAGGAGTGGTATGGCTGGATCTTGAGGAAGCGCTATTCCTAGTTGTCTGAGAAAGCGCCAGATTGATTTCCAGAGTGTACAAGTTAGTTTCCAGAGTTGTACAAGTTTACATTCCCACCAGCAGTGCCGAAGGGTTCCCCTTTCTCCACAACCTCTCCAGCATGTGTTATCACTTGAGTTTTTGATCTTGGCCATTCTGATGGGTGTAAGGTGAAATCTCAGGGTTGTTTTGATTTGCGTTTCCCTAATGGCTAATGAGGTTGAGCATTTCTTTAAGTGCTTCTCTGCCATTCGATATTCCTCTACAGAGAATTCTCTCTTTAGCTCTGTTCCCCATTTTTTAAGTGGATTACTTAATTTGCTGCTTTTCAGCTTCTTTAGTTCTTTATATATACTGGATATGAGTCCTTTGACAGATAAAGAGTTGGTGAAGATTCTTTCCCAATCTGTAGGCAGTCGCTTTGTTTTGATGTAGGTATCCTTTGCTTTACAGAAGCTTTTCAGTTTCAGGAGGTCCCATTTATTGATTTTTGGCTCTCAGAGCCTGTGCTGTTGGTGTTCTGTTCAGGAAGTTCTCTCCTGTACCAATGAGTTCTAGGGTATTCCCCACTTTTTTTTCTAGCCGATTTAATGTGTCTGGTTTTATGTTGAGGTCTTTGATCCACTTGGACTTCAGTTTTGTGCAGGGTGATAAATATGGATCTATTTTCATTTTTCTACATGTAGACATCCAGTTGGACCAGCACCATTTGTTGAAGATGCTGTCTTTTTTCCATTGTATGGTTTGGCATCTTTGTCAAAAATCAGGTGTCCGTAAGTGTGTGGGTTTATTTCTGGGTCTTCTGTTCGATTCCATTGATCCACCATTCTGTTTCTATGCCAGTACCATGCAGTTTTTATAACTGTTGCTCTATAGTACAGCTTGAGATCAGGGATGGAGATACCTCCAGAAGATCTTTTATTGTAGAGGATTGTTTTAGCAATTCTCGGTTTCTTGTTATTCCATACGAAGTTGAGAATTTTTCTTTCCAGGTCTGTAAAGAATTGTGTTGGCAATTTGATGGGAATTGCATTAAATCTGTAGATTGCTTTTAGTAAGATGGCCATTTTTACTAAGTTACTCCTGCCAAGCCATGAGCATGGGAGATCTTTTCATATTCTCATATCTTCTTCTAATTCTTTCTTCAGAGACTTGAAATTTTTTCCATACAAGTCTTTGACTTGCTTGGTTAGGGTTACACCAAAGTACTTTATGTCATTTGTGGCTACTGTAAAGGGTGTTGTTTCTCTAATTTCTTTCTCAGCCCTTTTGTCTTTTGTATACAGGAGGGCTACTGACTTTTTTGAGTTAATTTAGTATCCAGCCACTTTGCTGAAGGTGTTTATCAGCTGTAGGAGTTCCCTGGTAGAGTTTTTGGGGTCACTCATGCATACTATCATATCATCTGCAAATAGTGATAATTTGACTTCTTCCTTTCCCATCTGTATCCCCTTGATCTCCTTCAACTGTATTATTGCACTAGCAAGGACTTCCAGCACTATGTTGAAGAGATATGGAGAGAGTGGGAAGCCTTGTCCTGTCCCTGGTTTCAGTGGGATTGATTTAAGTTTCTCTCCATTCAGTTTGATGTTGGCTATAGGTTTGCTGTATATTGCCTTTACTATGTTTAGATATGTGCCTTGTATCCCTGCTCTCTCCAATACTTTAAACATGAATGGATGTTGGATTTTGTCAAATGCTTTTTCAGCATCTAGGGAGATTATCATGTGGTTTTTTTCTTTCAGTTTGTTAATATGGTGGATCACATTGATGGATTTCTGTATATTGGACCACCCCTGCATACCTGGGATGAAGCCTACTTGGTCATAGTGGATAATATCTTTGATGTGTTCTTGGATTTGGTTTGCAAGTATTTTGTTAAGTATTTTTGCATCAATGTTCATAAGGGAGATTGGCCTGAAATTCTCTTCCTTTGTTGAGTCTTTGTGAGGTTTAGGTACCAAGGTGACTGTGGCTTCATAGAATGAGTTTGGTAATATTCCTTCTGTTTCTATTTTGTGGAATAGTTTGAATAGAATTGGAGTTAGCTCTTCTTTGAAGGTCTGGTAGAATTCTGCGCTGAAGCCATCTGGTCCTGGGCTTTTTTTGGATGGGAGACTTTTGATGATTGCTTCTATTTCTTTGGGGGATATAGGACTATTTAATTGATTTGCCTGGTCCTGATTCAGCTTTGGTAGGTCAAATCGATCAAGAAAATTGTCCATTTTATTTAGATTTTCAAATTTTGTTGAGTATAGACTTTTGAAGTAAGTCCTAATGATTGTTTGGATTTCCTCAGTGTTTGTGGTTATGTCCCCCTTTTCATTTCTGATTTTGTTGATTTGGGTGGTGTCTCTCTGCTTTTTAGTTAGCTTGGCTAAGGGTTTGTCGATCTTGTTGATTTTCTCAATAAACCAGCTCTTGGTTTCATTGATTCTTTGAATTGTTTTATTTGTTTCTAATTGATTGATTTCAGCCCTGAGTTTGATTATTTCCAGCCGTCTACTCCATTTGGTGTGTCTGCTTCTTCTTTTTCTAGGGTTTTTAAGTGGGCCATTAAGTTGCTTGAATGAGCTGTCTCGAATTTCTTCTTGAAGGCACTTAGTGCTATGAACTTTCATCTTAGCATTGCTTTCATTGTGTCCCACTAGGTTGGGTATGTTGGGTCTTCAATTTCATTGAGTTCTAGAAAGGCTTTAATTTCTTTCTTTATTTCTTCCCTTACCCAGCTGTCATTTAGTAACACGTTGTTCAGTTTCCATGTGTGTGTAGGCTTTTTGCTATTTCTGTTGTTGCTGAAGTCCAGCTTTATTCCATGGTGATCAGACAGGATACAAGGGATTATTTCAGTCTTCTTGAGGCTTGCTTTGTGACCAACTATATGGTCTATTTTGGAGAAGGTTCCATGAGGTGCTGTGAAGAATGTAAATTCTTTTGTGTTTGGGTGTAAAGTTCTGTAAATGTCTGTGAGGTCCATTTGATTCATGACCTCTGTCAGAGATATTGTTTCTTTGTTTAATTTCTGTTTTGTTGACCTGTCCTTTGTTGAGAGTGGGGTGTTGAAGTCTCCCACTATTAATGTGTGAGGATCTATATGTGGTTTAAATTTTATCAATGTTTCTTTTACAAATGTGGGTGCTCTTGTATTTGGGGCATAGATGTTCAGGATTGTGATGTCTTCTTGGATCAAGGGAATTTTCCCTTGATGAGTATGAAGTGTCCTTCCTCATCTCTTTTTATTAATTTTGGTTGAAAGTCTATTTTATCAGATATTAGAATGGCTACTCCTGCTTGTTTCTTGGGTCCATTTGCTTGGAAAGTCATCTTCCAACCTTTTACCCTCAGGTAATGTCTATCTTTGTGTCTTAGGTGTGTTTCTTGTATGCAACAGATTGCTGGGTTTTGTTTACGTATCCATTCTGTTAATCTGTGTCTTTTTACTGGAGAGTTGAGTCAATTGATGTTGAGAGAGATTAATGACCAGTGGCTGTTAGATCCTTTGATTTTGATGTTGGCTGTGTTC